TCGCCCCCCGACCGTCTGTACCCCGCAGGAAGGTCGTGCACGAAGTTGTCAAACTATAGTAACCCTGTCTATGTAACAAATGCCAATCGCAAAAATCCGAAATAGGGCCGAGTGAACCTTCTGTAAACTCTCTATTTTGTGCTACAACTGCCACATCGGCCGTCGAAAACCCATACTACGACCGAAGTTACGCGACCGAAATTCGGCGGCTGAATTTCGTTCCGTCAGTTTTCGGCGTTTTCGGTTGGAGATGACACACTATAAGCGCCGAAATTACGTACAAATCACGCCGAATTACTTCGGAACGAAATTCGGCGATGGAATTTCGGCTTCGGTGTTCGGCTATGGAATTTCGGCTTCGGTGTGTTATCCGTTACATTACATTACATTGCTGGCGTAATTGCGCTGAATTCCGTCGCGTAATTTCGGTCGTAGTATGGCTACACACTTATGCTTACTCGCAAGTGGTTGACGAGGTGGTGATGTTGCTTGAAGGCGCGGCCGCAGCCGGCGCGCGGACACGAGTACCGCCGCTCGCCCAGGTGTATCGTGCTGATATGTTTCTGCACATATACAAAAAGCTTTATTTGCAAAACAAAAATGGTTGAGTCCCCCCGGTAAGTATTTAAACTTGTGTTGGGAATGACTCCTCTCCCCTTATGTCTAAAAGCTATAAACTATAGTAGATATATAGGGAGTAACAGAAAGGGTAGAACAAGCCGAAAGGAGGTCAAGTTAGTCATGAAACTGAACAAATTTCCCCATGGAACATGAGTCGAAATATGAAAAAATAAATTGGATCACCCATACAAAATCTCCGATCAGCTGATTGATTTACTAAGGGAGGTCCAAATTTTGTTTCATATTTCGACCCATGTTACATGGGGAAAGTTGTTCAGTTTCATGAGTACCTTGACCTCCTTTCGGCTTGAATACCCTTTCCGTTACTCCCTGTATAATAGAAAACTTGCATAATTTTCTACCTTGAATGTATGAATTCCATTATCACCATAGAGTGACCTCAATAAAGAGAAATTAGATTCCTCACACCTTGGGGTATTCGAAAATACCCCGTGTATGTTCCACGATAATTTTTAGTTTCCGAGTTATTCAACTTTTTAACTTGTATGGGAAAAACTCAAATGGCAGACATTTTTTCTTTTTTGTACGCTAGAAAATACAAATCATAAAGATTGTGCTATCAAAATCAACCGCGCTAAAAGCCCTTATACGGAAGTAAAAAAAGGAAAGGAAAAATTACTGCCAGTCGAGATTTTCCCATACAACTTTAAAAGTTGAACAACTCGGAAACTAAAAATAATCGCGGAACATACATGGGGTATTCGAAAATACCCCAAGATGTGAGGAATCTAATTTCTTTTTATTGACGTCACTCCATGGACCACCCTCAGTTATTACACTGAACTAGTGAAAGAGAACGAAAGACGTAAAGTATGTTTGCAAAAGTGATCTTACTCCAACTGTCGAAAGGTCACTTCCTTACCTGAAGTAAAATCGTAGTAAGTAAAATCGAAACAGTTGCCTACTTATTTTGCAAATATACTTTACGTCTTACGTTCTCTTTCACTAGTTCAGTGTAAAAACTGAGCAAAGCTACATAGGGCCTTACCACAAAAAAGTTAGACCAGCGTTGAACGCGTGTCTAGCGTTTTTTTGTATGAAGTTTTATTTTAAACACGCGTTCGACACTGGTCGACACGACTTTTTGTGGTAAGGCCCATAAAGTTTAGCGATTGCCCCGTTTGGGTACAAGAAGCTTATCGTAGAGGACGAAACTCATGAGACTGATGCCTCGCAGATTTGCACAAGTAGTCCGTATGGACGCAGTTTCAAATCACAATATAATTAAATTTTTGGTTACGAAGTCAATACAAACGAAGCAAGTGGGAAAAAATCACACCATTACCTACTGATGTGATTCGAACCCACGTCTTCTGACAAACCGGGTCAGACGTGTTTACCGCTACACCACGGTGGCTCTAACCCAGGCGGCGAAATACAGGATGTTAATTTAAATGCGTGCCTTAGCTTCAGGGTAGGTTCATCGGGTCGTTGAACGACTCGGTGTCCCACACGAAAAGAAGAAGAAGGGTAGGTTAAGGATCGATTAAGGATGCCGTAAAAAACATTTATTTTTTTTTTCTGGGATTTTCGTTTTTTCATATTTCGACCTATGTTCGTTCCTCTGGGAAAGTTGTTCCTTGTCACCAGCCGGTTTGTGTGTGTGTGTGTGTGTGTGTGTGTGTGTGTGTGTGTGTGTGTGTGTGTGTGTGTGTGTGTGTGTGTGTGTGTGTGTGTGTGTGTGTGTGTGTGTGTGTGTGTGTGTGTGTGTGTGTGTGTGTGTGTGTGTGTGTGTGTGTGTGTGTGTGTGTGTGTGTGTGTGTGGTGTTCATGTATTACCTCCATCATTTGCTTGCTCTTGAACGCAAAGCTGCAGTGGTCGCAGATGAAAGGCCTCTCGTCTGAGTGTGTCTGCGAAACAAGAAAAATAATGAATTTAATTTTTTATTTGCGAACCAGTCCATGGAACTGACTGAACTGTCAATTTTTCCAAGGAACATAATGATCATAAATTGAAAATTAAAAAATTGAAAAATTCACTAGCGACCGCCGGGACTTGAACCCGGGACTGTGGAACACCGTTCCACCGATCTTCCGACTGAGCTACGCTTTGAGACGAGCATCAAGAGTACATCAGGGTCCGATAGGCGCCCGTAGCTCAGTCGATAGAGCGGTGGAACGGCAATCCACAGTCCCGGGTTCAAGTCCCGGCGGTCCCTAGTGAATTTTTAAATTTTCTCATTTTCAATTTATGACAATAATATTGCGCTGTCAGTGCATAAAAGAAACCAGAACATAATGATGTTAGTAAACAAACAAAAACACAGAAAGAGTCATTCAAACAATTAATAAAATATCAAAATTCTAAAGACATATGTGGGTAGCAGAAGAACTCGTCGCCCACCGCCTAGATGACATCTCGCTGGGACCTTAGTCAACCCGCGACCACAACACATGAAACTGTGTTGAAACGTCGGGACACAGGTAAATTATAAAGGTTTACCTAAATAATTATCGCGATAGATCCGGTTCAATACTTAAAATGACAGAAAGAGTCAGTTGATCGTAATTTTTTTTAAGGGAGGTGCAGATTTTTTTTCTTGTTTCCCACCATCGGCTCCACAGGAAAAGTTTTTTATTTTCATATTCTGATCACGACCGCAAAGTTTTGTGAACGACAGGATGGCACATGTATTATGTTCATATTTTAATGAGACATACTGAAAAATAGTACACAGTACGTAATAGTATTTAGTATATGTCTCATTAAAATCTGAACACATAGAGTAAAATTTTACTAGTGACCTATAGCGAAAACTCAGAACCGGTTGATGATATGATAAGGAACAACTTTCCCCTAAGGAACATAGGTCGGAAACCGAAAAACAAAATCATGTGCCATCCCAAAGTTCACAAAATTTTCGTAACTCCGTCCCGTACATCCCGTATACTTACTCGCAAGTGGCTAAGGAGATTTGATAGACAGGGTGTCAACAGCTGTTGTTCAAAAAAAATCCCTGACTTTTCAGGTAGCCCCTCGATTTCACTGACTTTCCCTGACCACCTCGAGCTTCCCTGACTTTTCCCTGACTTTCCCTGATTTTCCAGAATGTGGACACCCTGATAGATGTTTGAACGCGGGACCGCGTGTTTGATCGCATAGTTACTAGTGTTGATGAGGATTCCTCTTCCGCATCCTCATAATGCGGAAGTTCCGCAATTATTCAGGTTCCTCATCCGCTATCGCTTCCTCACAAAATATATTTTTAAATTTCTCTTCCTCTTCCGCTTACTTATATATTTCGAGGAGTTTTGCCTTTATAAATACTGCACAAAAACTGACCCGAATTATTCTTTCTCTCTCTCTATTTTTCGTTTTATTTCTCCCTCAGCAACTTCCTCTTCCGCGTCCTTTTCAATAAATAAATCCTCATCCTCATCCACATCCTCCATCTTTGAGCTTGTCGCTTCCTCTGGTTTGAAGTGGTTTGAAGGAACGTACTAGTTTTCCTAGCACCCTGTATTTATCGACTGACTGTCCCGATGGCGTAGTGGATAGTACCCCTGCCTTCTACGCCGAGGGTCGTGGGTTCGATTCCCACCGCACACAAATATTTGTAAAGTCAATTTTCAAGTATTTGTGTGTAGTCTGGGTGTTTTCTATGTATGATATGTATTTATTTACAAAAAAAGTATATAAGTATTATATCAGTTGTCTAGTTCCCATAGTACAAGCTTTGCTTAGTTTGGGGCTAGATGGCGCTGTGTGTCTCGTCCAGGGATATACGGGGTGTTAGGGACGGTGTAACGAAAACTTTGCAGGCGTGCTCAGACCATGAAACTGAACAACTTTTACGAAAGAAAAAAATTCCGACCTTCCATACAAAGTCAGTCAGCTGATCGTGAATTTTGTATGGGAGGTCGGAAATTTTTTTTCGTTTCCCACCATTGGCTCCATAGTAAAAGTTGTTCAGTTTGATGGTCTGATCATGCCTGCAAAGTTTTCGGTACACCGTCCCTAACACCCTGTATTTATTTATATTTGTCAACACTAATACTTACTCGCAAGTGGCTAAGGTGACCTGATAGGTGTTTGAACGTGCGGCCGCGTGTTTGATCGTACACTTACTGAGTCAGAACCTTTTCTCTGGCACAGTACAGAACACATTACCATAACCAATTGTATGAAGTAAAGAAGGTACCTTTATGCTTATTTATTTTTGTTTTTTGTCTATTGGGATTGTAAAGCACTCACAGTGCTATATTATTCTCACAAGTGAAGATAAGAAATAGAAAAAATATCACTCATAATGTGGACTAACCATGTAGTAAGTTCTAAATACTTTCTACAGATGTCGCTGGATCGTCGCTTGGAGACGAGCATCAAGAGATAGAAAATTTGGCATTCATCAACCGGTGCATCGATAGCTCAGGGGCAGAGCGGTGGGGCGTTTACCCATGCGGCCCGGGTTCGATTCCCGGTCGATGTATGACATTTTTTCTATTTCTTATTTTCATTTGTTTTTCGTGTTAGTATGTATTTTAAAACGTATCTACTTGTTGTTTGACTGATTTAATCATGTACCTCGTTTTATTTTGTGTTATGTACTGTACTATTTATGAGAATAAATTGTTTTCTATTCTATTCTACTTACTCGCAAGTGGCTAAGAAGACCTGATAGGTGTTTGAACGCGCGGCCGCGCGTTTGATCGCATACTTACTAGTGTTGATGAGGATTTCTCTTCCGCATCCTCATAATGCGGAAGGTTCCTCATCCGCTATCGCTTACTCACAAAATTATTTGTAGAAATTCCTCATCCTCATCCTCCATCTTTGAGCTTGTCGCTTCCTCTTCCGCTTCCTCTTCCTCATAACAGGTTCCTCATCAACACTAATACTTACTCGCAAGTGGCTAAGGTGTCCTGACAGGTGTTTGAACGTGCGGCCGCAGCCGGAGTGCCTGCACGTGTACGGTCGCTCGCCCAGATGTGCAGTGCGTATGTGAAGCTGCAGGTATACAATAGAAAACTTTCAGATTTTTCAAGACACTCGCATTCTAAAACCTTCAATTATACCGGGAGTAACGGAAAGGGTATAACAAGCCGAAAGGAGGTCAAGGTACTCATGAAACTGATCAACTTTCCCCGTGGAACATGGGTCGAAATATGAAAAAAAAAATTTGGTCCTCCCAAAGTAAATTAATAAGCTGATCGGCGATTTTATATGGGAGGTCAAAATTTCTTTTTTAGGGAAAGTTGTTCAGTTTCATGAGTACCTTGACCTCCTTTCGGCTTGTTATACCCTTTCTGTTACTCCCTGTACAACAAATAAATAAATCCGAAAGGGTGTGGAAAGATCCGTTGCAAAGAGTCAATTATCAAAAAATTTGAGCCGTACTATCGTTTTTGAAAAATACGAAAAAATAGTTTTTTTTTTTATTTACACTTATTTTTAATCTTGGCATCGCAGCACTAATTCTGACAGCTCAAAGTTCAAATGAAGTTACCGATGCGGCGCAGCGCAGCACATTACATTGCTGGCTATTACATGAATGTCATCAATACAAGAAACTAAGTCAACCAGCAGTGTATGCCGAAGCGGACTTTGTTCGCCAGGTAGTGTAGCACCTGAACTAGACTAGAGATGTGATTAATTCATCAACTGATGATAAGTTAGCTTAGTTATGTGTAACATGTTGTATAAGGTTACTTTTAATTAAGTACATATATTTGTTCTTTCATTTTTCAAAAAGTTTCCAATATAATTTCTTCAGTTTTGTGAGTAGAACACCCCTTAAAAATATTTGTCCTAATATGCAGTAAAGCAGTTTCGTCATCATAAATAAAAAGTTAATGGAAAAAATGCTTAATTTAGGAAAACTTGCAAAATTTTCAGCGCAGGCTGGATTTGAACCAGCGACCTTCGCCATCATTAATGCTTTAAACTTTTTTATACCGATAGGCAATTTCATAGGTGGGGACCTACATATTAAAATTGAAAATCGGCAAGGGCCAAAGACATGTATCTCTGATACATGAGTAATCGTCTTAAATCGTGTGTTAGTGTTAATGTATTACCGCCATCGCTTGCTTTTTCTGGAACCCTTTGTTGCAATAGTCGCAGATGAAGTTTGTGTGGAAGCGCTGCTTATGGTAGCGTAGGGCCGACTCGTTCTGTAAGAGAAAACATGGGGTTCATTGGGTTGTTCGTATACTAGGTGTCCCACATACTTGATTAAAAATTAAGGAAAAATTGCAAAATTTTAACCGCGGGCTGGATTTGAACCAGCGACCTTCGCCATCTGTACTGGCGACGCCTCTACCAACTGGGCTATAGCGGCTCACTCCAAGCCCGCGAATTAAGCAGGCGTATTTTGACCACTAACGCGTGGTAGGGCTCCATCTACCAGGATAATTTTACACCACCACGAGCCCTACCACGCGTTAGTGGTCAAATCAGTCGCCAGTACAGATGGCGAAAAGTCGCTGGTTCAAATCCAGCCTGCGGTGAAAATTTTGCAAGTTTTCCTAAATTGTATTGTATTAAGACAGGTTTAAATCAGGCAGGTTATGGATATGTTTAGGTTACGGTTTCGGTTACGGATATCGAAAAAAATACCGGTTTCGGTTAAGGATACCGATATGAAAACATTTCGGATTATACGTACGTTCCGATTACGGATATTAAGAAAAAGCAATACTTCTCTTAAAGTGTATCACACTATGTATTGGCACGTATTGGTCAATGAAACCTATTTGCTATTAATGATTAAATCACAGAATTAAACATAGGTACAATGTAAAGGTCGCGCGCGACATGTCTGAAAAACAACTTGGTTGTCTGTAACTTAGGTTTGCTGTAAGAAATTTCTTTTTAGAAATAAGTAAACCTTTGTGTTTTGTCTCATTGTACATTGTTCCTATGTATGTGTGTGTGCAATAAATAAACGTATCGGGGTTTTATTGATGCACCGTCCTTAACCAAAATTATTCGTAACATGTTTTCAGAAATGTAATATTTATTTCAGTTTCGGTTTCGAGAAAGGGTACGGAATGCAGCACCCAAATTATCTTACTTTCAGTTTATTGTTTTTTTATGGTGGTGGTTTAGTTTATTTTAAGTGTATAGTAGTATTTTATTTTTCAATTATATTTTATTTAGAATAGTTATGTCTGCTACCTATTTACCCTATGATACAAGTATATTTTTAAATTAGGAAATAGTTAGCAACATAATTATTTTTCTATAAGTTTACCTATTTGTAAGTATGTTTATTTATAATAAAGAACTCTATAAAGAAAGTGCCGTGTGGTGCCGGCAGAGTAGAATAGCACCACCTTCTTCTTCTTCATCACCATCATCTTCCCGTGGGGGTCGTAAGAGGCGACCGAGGGATAAACCCGACCCAAACAGCCAGGGCCAACCGTATGGTGGCGGTTAATACACCACAAAAGCATTCCCAAGGAGGGTTGACGTCTGGTAGGCAGCCGGACGTAAAATTAAGCCAAATCCTTTGCAACACGATTGTGTTTAACAAAACGTGTTGCGCCGACCCCAAGTAATTGGGATAAGGGCAGGGAGATGATGATGAACTCTATAAAACTCACTTGAAATCCACCAACAGAACAAACACTGCATTCCAGCTTGCCTGGCTTGGGTGACTTGGGTGACTTGGGTCGTCGTCGTATCGGCCCCCGCTGAAGTAAAAGGAAACCATTCTTATTATACGGGGTGTAAGAGACGGTGTAACGAAAACTTTGCAGGCGTGCTCAGACTATGGAACTGAACAACTTTTCCCATGGGGCATATGATGGTAAACGAAAAAAATAATCTGTCCTCCCGTACAAAATTTACGATCTGCTGACTGACATTGTATAGAAAGTCAATTTTTTTTTCGTTTGCCACCATATGTTACATGGGAAAGTTGTTCAATTTCATGGTCTAAGCACGCCTGCAAAGTTTTCGTTACACCGTCTCTTACACCCTATATTATCTACGCTCTTGTCATAATGTTCGTATCATGAATTTGAAAGAAGTTGTACTTCAGTAAGTATCCTGCCTCTAATTTTTTTCTCACCGTCGGAAACATATTAATATAACTTCGAATTTATAATTTTATCTACTCTCGTTTAATAATAAAATACAATTTTCTGTACACAAATGTGTTTTTAAATATCACTATAGTGGGGTAAAAGTGCGCACATCTAGCCACATACACCATGCGCGCACTATTACCCCTGCAGTTCTACCCTATTCAATAAGTAGATAGATAATAAAATAACTTAATCCTACTAATATTATAAAGGCGGATGTTTGTGTGTGTGTTTGTTATGACATCACGCAAAAACGGCTGATTAGATTGACATGAAACTTTGCAGAAATATAAAAGGGCATCTGGAATAACACATAGGATACTTTTTACCACGGAAAAATGTCTCATTCCCACGGGATCACACATTTTCCAATATTTTTGAAATAGGTGGCGTGACTGAGCCGATTCGCGTTTTAAACGTTTTCGGCGAAAACTAACAGCGACATCTCTTGGCGAATTATGCTTTCTTCCCGCGGAATAATAGGTTGCAGCGGGTGAAACCGCTGACGGGCAGCTAGTTGCTCAAATATACAATACAAAACATTGAAACAACAATACAGAAAACTTTCGAGCTATAAGTACGCAAAGGCAGTCTTATCGCTTGCAGCGATCTCTTCCAGACAACCTTTAGCTAGCAAGAGATAGTTCACACAGATTTGCAGGTAGTTGCAGAAGCAATCAAACTTAAAAACCATAAATTTTGACAATAATAAATAAAAACAATGGTTCGTAACCATGTCGTAACACACTTCGTGTGGTAGGTATAGTACAGTCTCTCACGCTAAATCACGAACAATTCCATTTTTCAGCAATAAATGTTGCTGCATCTTAAAAAGTAACGATTATTGCTGTAAATTATTACAATTACAAACTGAAAAATATCGCGGCCTTACATTTTTACACGATTGCCCACAAAAAAGAAGTGTAATGTTTTAGGGTTTATGTATGTACGTATGTATGTATGTATGTGCGTTACTTTAATTAAACCACTGTAAGTCTTTAGCCACTGAACAGATTCGATTAGAAATTGTGTAAGAAGAATCCTTACATTATCCCGATTGTGATAGGCTTTGTTTTGTATAGGAAAATTGTTTTCCACAAAAGCAGGCGTGTTTTTAAAATTTTAAATTTTAAAGTTATGGATTGTTTGTTCATGGGTGAGCGGGAGCGAGTTACGTTTGAGCCTACATACGTACACACACAGATATCAAGCCTTTATTAGGTGCGTTCACACCAAGCGAGGCTGCTCGTTGCCTCACTGCCTCGCGCGGCATACGCTCGTGCGCGGGCGAGGCAAGTTCGGCCCATTTTGGACGCCTAAATAAACTAATATACGCATATGCTTGTAAAATAGTAAAGTAAATTCCTAAGCAAATCGCAATGAATAATACACTTTG